CTTTAGAGATGCACAGTATTCGAGCTCGTGCATTATACAAATGCAGGTTGCAATGAGCTTTCTGTTCTGAAACCTCAGGATTTCGCCGTGGATGATGCTTCTGAAGCACGAGGAAGTTCGAAAAGTGTACAACACGTGTACAATATCTTTCGATGCCCGTCAAAGCTTGACATTGCGACACAGCTTTTTCTATACTATGGTGAGCCTACCAAAGACATAAGACACAAAATCAGTCAATGAAAGACATCTTGGCTTTCATATAATGAATTAGGATAGTATGTGTCTTTGGACTAACCCATTTCCTCGCTATTCCGCTTTCACTGTTTGCCATTTAGTATGGGCACGATCGTATACGAAATAGTTTGGAGATTTGCCGATAATGGAATTTCCCTTTTGCCGAGCAGTGCTATTACCCGGTAGGGTGAAACGCAAGCTAAACTTCGGAGTTTTGCATATTATTATCAGACTCAGCATGGTTAGAAGAGCACTAATTTCTGATCATATCCTTTCACTAGGTAAGATTTCTGCACAAGAGTGTTGCTGATCATTCGAAAGCTTGAATCTCGGGCTAGCACCGTACAGTTTTTAGAAATATGCTTTTGTACCGCCGCAACATCCAAAAAAATATTATATTTCACACCCGAAACGCTCTTTAATTTTTGTCACGCGTATAGGCTTGAAGCACAAAAAGCATATGCACACACATAAGAACACTCAGAGTAACTGAGCCTACCGTTTTATCTAGAATTCCCTTCCAGGCGGTGAAAAAATTCCTAATTGAATAACAAGTTGCACCCTCTAATGTGTTAGGCCATTAATCGATCAACCTCACTCCCTCCCCGTAGATTAGTCTGTAGACAAACGTGCCGATTATAAAATTTTGATATTTTATTCCCTGCTACACTGCAGTGAAACGACCTTCCCAGAAAACATCAACAACGTTGGAATCACTGGACCTAACGCCATCGAATGATTATTGATAGTTCGAAGGGAGAGCTCTGCTCACAGGTGTAAAACATGAATGCTTTTTCCTCCTATATGACTATCAAAAAAGCCTTTCCAACGATCAGATACATTTTTTGAGTTCTTCGAGATTTACGCCATCGACATAGTATAAGCAATCAGAAGACTGAGTTTTCCCCAACGAAATATCAGCGAGATGAAATAAAAAACGCGTAGTGCATGTGAAACATAATGTTTTTCTAAATGCTACAGCGCTCCAGAAAAACTCTTTTGAAAACCAACTACGTATGGCGCCAGCCGGCGATTTGTGTTTTCGGATGATCACTAACACTCTTATGAAAAGTTCTTACCTAGCGAAAGGATAGGTTTGAAAGTTAGTACTCTTCAACCAAAGAGAATCCATCATCATTCATCGTCATCTGTTATAGATCTTTATTCAGCATTTAGAACATTATTAATCTGTTCTCACAGCTTTTTTCTGTTAATTTTCCACTGTGCAGATCTTTCTACTTCTTCCATTTAGTTCGTTTTTTTTTTCGTCTTCTTTAACGTCGTAGAACACTGGCTGACAACGTCTCCTGTAATATCGAGGATAACCTGGTTGTGGCGCAACATAGAACGTTCGTTGTTGACTAACGGAGAGTGTTGGGGAGGAGAGGAATATAGACCGCGCGTAGCAACCAGCATCGCAACCACCCGGCCACGAAGTCCCATAGATCTTTACTATGGTTAACATTTCAACTCTTTCGCCTTCGCCAGCGTCACAATGACTTGAGCCGAGTGACCACTGTGATATTTTTTCTCATCTTGGTAGACAGAACCGCCACATTGAGATGATCGAGTAGGATGAAGTGTCGTGTGAATAAATTCGGCCTTGCCTTTCATAGTGGACTCCAGTCACTCTGAAATGAACTGTCGCCTAGTAGACAGCATTCTACACGGAGTGAGCAGATCTGTTTGTTCACAAGGCCTTTGATCAAACAGGGATAGAAACATTCGTTGAAATTCGTCGATTTAGTACAATAATTTTTCCGAAATGTAGGAAAAATGTTGTGGCGAAACTAACCTTCGCAAAGCAATTTAACCAGATCAATACATGACTGCTACAGCACGGAACTCCTGCAATACAAAACACCTTCAATGCGGAAGTGCAACAACACGGAGCAGCACAACACGAAGGTGCTTACTCAGCTTGGCCTGGCGTTTATGAAATTTTCTTGACATCGAAGACTTTTAAGCTTTAACGGTGCTTTCACTTATCATTCGCAAAAGAGAAGAAACGATGTAATCACGTTGCTAGAGAACAATATTAGCATTTTTGACATTGAGATGAAACTTGGTTACATGTGTTAGGTCATTTGCACAGAAGTGTGAAACATTTTCCGTTACATCTTCACATGTCAAGCCCTAAACGTATAGTTCTCAGAAGTGACACGCTCGAGCCGTGGTTGTTTACATACAATTGTGTGAATTGACAAGAGAACTCTCCTAACTTCAAGATCGGCTCCGCTAATAAAGCTAGACTAGAACCACCTAACAGGCACGAACAGCGGGAAATGTAGGAGCATTGCCAACACCGCCTTTTCCCCAAGCGTTCTTTCGACAACAAGCCCCTAATAATGAAGTGCATATCATTTTTCCCTTATTCTCGGACAAAACTCTTAGAATCCTCAATCACTATCGCGGGAAAAAGCTTAGCTTCCTACCTAACATCAGCGCTTAAAAACGCTGTACGACAGATCACGGGAGCTAATAAAGTCCAAAACCATTCGACTATCAGTTAGTGATAAAGGAGGAGAGTTCGTGGTAATTCTGCATCAGTTGGATGTTGAGATAGCGAAAAAACACGTAGATAGACGTTGCACTCTAAGTTCCTTATCTGATATGGAATTTTAAAAACAACATCGAAAGTTGAATAGTGAATGGGTGAAAAGTAGCAAGTTCGGCAGGCTTACAATCCTCCGTTATCTTCGAGCTAAAACTCAGTCCACTATCATGCTCCGTCCTGCACTTACTTACTAAGACTCATACGTTGGTATGTACTGATGATCTTGCGTCTCCTGATACTTCAAAATTCAAAGTTAGGCCCATCATCAGTTGTGTAGACGGGCCAACGGATAGAATATCGTGGTTTTTAAACTTAATACTAGTCCAACTACTGAAACACATTCCAGCCCATCTTACCAATACCAGATGTTCTTGGATCGTCTACGTATCACGCCTCCCAACAACGCGTACGTAATGGAATCGTTCGACGTATCCGCTCTTTATACAAAAGTTTCAAATGAGTCCACAATGCAAGCCATGTGCAAGCTTCTAGCGGAGCCCGAAAGGACTACGAACATGTATGGCTACTCATTCGGCAGGTCATGGTTCTCTTAAAAGAGTGCCTCAGCTGCTCATTCTTTAGATGCTCTGGGAATTATTCTGCGCAGATCAGAGGGCTGCCAGTGGGAAAACGACTAGCTCGGACCTCTTGCTATCGCTTTTTGCCTAAAGAAGAGGCCCCAATAATCGATCGTCCGACCGTTACTCTACTGTAGGTATATAAATAATTGATTTGTCGTCTCCTCAACACAAGAGGAGATGTACAAATGTTTTGAGTTGTTAAATAGTCACTCAGAGCACATAATGTTCACCCATGAGAAACCTAAGCAAATTGTCTTCCATTTTTAAACTTTCAAGTTAACCTCTCTAGAAAACTCCTACAACACAAAATAGTATCGCAAACCAAGCAACAAAACATTCTGGTTCAGTACCTATCTGCTCATCTCTCGTCATGCAAAATGCGCACTTATAAAAAAATGTTGCGAACAGCTGCTGATGTGTGCATAGGAAAAGAACACAAGGTAGAGTCCCTGAGCTTGGCGCGAAGAATAACCATCTCTAATGGTCACAACACGATAGGAGCTTCTCAGGTTAGAATTAGAGAAGATTCGTCGCCCCTTATACGGAAGGTCTAGCAAGGATAATGTTCCATTCATCCTGCCTTTTACTTCCAACGAAGTAAGTACAGCCATTAAGACTCTGCTCAAAAAGAGCAGGTTTAGATAATTTGGTAGTAGTAGTCGAGATATCACCAAAAACACTAAAGCGCCAATTAGTCCGCAACCGACTGTATGATCGCCGTCTCTGCGAAACCAACGACTGCAAAGTTTGCCCAAACGGCAGAGACGGCGACTGCATGAGGTCGGGTACAATTTACCTAATCTCTTGCGAGGCATGCGGGGATGAATGTATTGGCGAAACGGGTAGACCACTCTGCATCCGCGTAAAAGAGCACCTAGCTGGGAAACGTAACTCCTGCCCAAAAATCCCCACTAGGCACGCATAAGGAACAGAAGCTTAAAGGAGCAGATTTTGGCGTTAAATTCACGCTACTTGCACAGGAATCAAAAACATCTATGGCGTAAAACTTTGGAATACCTTTCGGATACATAGCAAAGGCCTAAAAATGAATCGCAAAGAGGATGTCCTCGTAATAACACGTGACCTCGCACCACTACCTCAGGCTAATATTCCCAACCTGAGCCAGGCATGATTTAATAATTTGCGAATCAATTAGACCTTTCCAGGCTCTGAAGATGGCGAACCTTGCCGAAACGTAAGCCACCACGACTCATGTAATATTCATGCTGCATTATTAACTGTATTGTTATGTGCTTCGTTGATATTCAATAAATAGTATCAGTAACACTCAGAGTGGCTAAACAGAAGAAGATGCTCATTTATTCAAACTATTCCGAGGTTAATAGATAGTTGGTACTGGGATTTAGTATACAGTCTGTAAGAATGTTTCAAGCCTTCATGTAGTTGATACACTACATCCCATTCGTGGCTCACGCATGTTTCGGCGGTATCGCCATCATTAGAGTCTACTCTGTAGTCTTGTTGCACTTCATCATAGAGATGATGTGACGATGAATAGTACGCTGTCGGCAAGATATATCGTGAGCCACCAAGATACCTACAATCAATGTCTTGCCTCTGATACAACAATATTTTACCCAACAATGTTGAGTGATGCGCTGAACTTCGACGTCAGGTGGGACTCAAACCGACAATTTAACCTCTCCGGGATCGCGTGCTTAACCAATTGCACTACCAACGCTTGTTTTATCACCACTCTTTCTACTCTACAAAGCATCATTATGCCAGAAATCAACCGTCAACGGCTTGGTTCAGAAGTCATATCGAAAAATTCCAAGTTACGCTGGCAGATATTGGATACACGTGATTGGCAAGAGATCTTTTTGATCAACAGCTGAATAGCGTTGATAAGATGTTTGTCAACCACATGCATCTAATATAATCAGCCTAACTGGGATCGATGCCGATAAGGCTTGATGTGCCAGACCGATGACTGTTTGCCGCTAAGAGATTGATGCGTTGTAGCGCAGAAAGAATGGCGGCAAAACAGGCGCCAATATTGCAAGTGGTTAAGCACACACTTCTGGAAAAGATATAATTCGGGTTTGAATCCTGTCTGACCTCAAAGTTCTGCACATCACTCAACCTTTTTGGGGTAGAATATTGATTGTACCATGTACGCTGGTGACCATGATATATCTTGCCAATGATGTACTATTTATCATCGCCAAATCTCTATGATAGAGACCAATGAGTCCTAAAGAGGTTCTGATGATGGCGAAAACCGCCGAAACGCACGTAGGCCACGAACGGAGCAAAGTGTATTGACCTCAAGCAAGCTTGAAATATTCTTACAGGCTATATATTGATTTGGAAGCTTGGGTTGCTATATGAGTCAAATGATCACCTATTGTGAGAGAGCAGCATTTCGGCTTCTCCGGATGATCCTTTTGAAACATTGGAGGAATGAGAGGAACTACTGGAGAGTTTTGACCGAAACACAGATGAAATTAAACTTCACTTTACAAAATATGCAATAACAAATTCTGCTTTGCGCAAATTGGAGACGTTACATAAACATCTAGTTTGGTGAGAAAATGGAACGATAGAAACGGTGAGTAGGGGTGCTCCTGCTTAGTGTTAACGGTCGCATTCATAGAAACGTTTATTTCACTAAGCCGTTCTGATTACTTGCCAATCCCATAAAGTGTGGGAATCCCGCTTGACAAGACTTCTTGCCCTAACTTTTTCTAGCACCGTTTCTTATACGGTTTTCTTTTGATGTCTCATATTAACGTATTGAGAAACAATCTTAGTCCAAGTCCGCTTTTGAATTCTTAGGCGGAAATCTTTGATAAGTTTACACTTGAGTTATCGGTCGCCTTTCTCATCAACAAGCATATTTTGTAGGCGTAGAAAATGCGAGAAACTATGAGAAAATGAAAGATTAGCAAAACGCCATCTCTGTTTTTTTCCAAATTTGTTGCGAAGAACTTTTCCAGCAGATGTTTCGTTTCGATTTTGTCAATCGAGATTTCTTTTACAGATTTTCGCTTGGACGGACAATTGTAATTTCGACATTTTTTCTATTACGAATATTTTAATTTTGAGAAAGTCGAATTTTTGTGAGGCAGCATCAGAAATGAGAATATGAGAACAGAGTTCAAATAGCCTCACATACGGAATTGGTGCACTTGCTATAAAATTCGTTCAAACAGGTCTCTTCAATTCACCTTCTTGTCGTTCAACATTTTGACATGCTTGATCTCATCACCCACTCCCGTTTCCTTCGCAGTAGCAGATTTTTTCACACGGTTTATTTCAAAGGATTTTGCTTCAAATCAGACGGATTTGAAATTCATATAGTCCGTGGATAAGTTGGAAATCTGCGAAGGATATGCTAAGTGCTGAGTAGCAAATTCGACATTTCATTGTGAATTGTGTGATGTAAAAAGTTGCAATTTAGCTATTAATTGAGTCTGCAGTAACGTTTTTTGTATCAGAAGAAAATGAGTACTCTTCCAAACATGACGAAACTTCCACCCTATTCTATTGTGATATCGCTGCTGATCACAGTCTCGACAGTATTGGGATGTGCAGTGTAGCCTGCTGGTCAAGGTAGTAAACAGAAACTGTTTTTTATAGTAAGATATCTCCAGTCTTGCATGTAAATTCCATAAACTTTGATGATAATAAATACATCTTAAGCATCCTCATTACTCAATAGGCACATAGTCTAAACCTTTTGCTGGAACGACCTTAGATTCATACAATCACATTAGAATGGGAATTTATCGTCATAGTTTATCTGATATAGTATTTAATTTTTGATCACTCACTACGTAAACTACGAAATTCCATTGTAGCGAGTAGTAGGACCTTCGCCGTCACGGGATTACCACTTTGCTTGTTGCCATGTTCAAACTAGCGCAATGAATGCTGTTCGGTTCCCTAGCATTGCAACTAGCGAGGCGATCGCCAGAGGATTCGTGCAACGCCTTGTGAATGCAGACAATGAATTTTCAAATCTTAGGTTACAACTTTTTTCGAAATTTTGAAAGTCTTAGGCGGCAAGTGGGAATTTTTGACATTTAGACCTATATGTTTTCATGCTTGAGCAGCTTCACATATTCTTACATAGCATATATTTTTATCCTCGAATTTCCTTTACTTTTCGGTGTATATACTTCGAATGGAGACAGTTTCGGATAAACTATTCCATCAAGCACAGAAATTTGTTCTTCAGGTCTTTGATGTTCTCGAAACGCCAAGCTCGTAGCGCTCTCCTACCCGATGCTGTGATCTCAGCCATTTTGTGCCAACTTACTGTTGAAGTCGGGTACAATCCAATGAACTGCCTATGATTACTGATCCAGAAGAGATAAGTGAGTCCTTCATATTGAGCAACCATTCAAGAGTGCTCAGGCAAAAGTGCAACAGGTATCAAAACTTAAATGTTCACTATTCTAAAAGAAGCGCTTACCATTCCAAATAAATTGGGCTGCTTTGAAGAGATACTAGAAAATTTTCAAAGTATGAAGAAAACTATTGTAGTGGCCTCAAAATTTCAAATCAGTGCCATTTTCAGACGAATTTATTCTTCTTTCTATAAAGCGAAGGGCACTTATATGTTAGACGGCGACAAATTCAGAGCGATCTTCATTCTTCATAGGAGTGTTAGTAAGCATTCGGAAGTTTAAATCTCTAGCTACAACTCCAAGTCGCCGGTTCCAAAACATCCTTTCATAACGTTGTAGCATCCAAAATAAAATTTTGTTCCATACTCGCCTTTTCCTTCATTTTTATCATTCACGTAATTCGCTAGAAGCACGAACAGCATATCAGCATGCAGAGGATTTTCCGTAGTATCAGAATCTGAGTTTTTATCTGAAGTTCTATCGATGCGGTGAAAAAATCCCCAATTGTATAACAATATTTCAAACGCGATCGATCGCCCTGCCCCTGCCCTACCTCCCAAGTCCGTGAGATGGCAGGTTAACTAAGTCGTCGAAAATGTAAAATTCGATCTCATTTGCCTGCAAACGAAATTTCCAGAAATAAGCAAACTTAAATATTTGTTATTGTGCTATGACTAGGAATAAATAAAGAATCAACACTACGATTGATATGATCACCTTGACTACATTCAGGAGGCCAGAAGGTCCTAATTGATTCCAATACTGAGTTCATAGCATCATCACCTAATCATAAATAAAGATTACATTGATAATAGATTCGGGAAAGTTCTGAGAAAATGCTTGTAAAACATTTACTTATGCACCTATTACACCCGAGCAAAGACAGAACTATAGTCAAAGTACTCCCCTTCAACTTCAAGCACTTCCTGCCACTTGTCCACACTGTGCTTTTGTCAACTGTGTTTTCGCCCCAAGTCACATTGATGGGTTCACTTGCCACCGTTGCATTTGAACACAATAGCTATTCATGCATCATCAACAACCTAATTTGCTCAGCTTGTTGACTCCTTGAAATAAGTAGATAAATTATAAACCAATCAACGCGAGAGAAGTCGGGCATCCAAATGAGCCCAAAAACACAAAAATTGGCCGGCACCCAAAAAAGTTACAAGCATTTTCTCAGAACCTTTCTCTCCAACCTATTGCTATGAGGGTGAAAGCCAAAGAACTTGCTATCTGCGATCATCTAGCGCCACATAAATTCCGTCAAGTTGTTTCTTCTTCAGTCTGCGGCAAAGTAAAAAGGATCATAGCTGAGTAAAATGTGAAGGTAAACCACAGCAACGACTTGTTGGTAAGATAATCTGATGAGTTCAATAAAGGGAAGCTACTGCGACGATTTGTTGGTAAGGTAAATCGCCTGATCTACCGCGTAACTAGATAGTGATGGTGTTAAAACGGCGGCGACTATTGTTAAATCATTGCAGATTTTTTCATCGCAACGGCAGAACTTTAGTAAAGACGTATGATCCTGATACTACGGAAATTCTCTACATGCTGACTTGCTTTTCGTGCTTCCAGCGATTAATACATGGGATAAAAATGAGAGCGAAAACGAGTTCAAATATAAGTTTATTTTGGATCTTACAGTGTTAAAAAAGGGTGTTTGGAAACTGGCGATGTAGAGTTGTAGCCAAAGATTGAAGCTTTCAATGATTAATAACACTTCTATGAAAATTACTTGTCCCGCTAATAGATCGGTTTGGAAATCTGTCGCCGTCTAACTATATATTAGATGAAATATCAAACATGGTAGGTGATAATTTGAAGATTAAAAATAACAGAAAAACAGTACTCAAAGTGCCTTTATTCTCTTTTGTAATGCAAGAACGTGTCTTCATGTGACAAAAAGATTTTGCAGACAACCCCGAAACATGGATGAGACCTATTGCATTATCGTTGGCAACACGGTGACGGGAATTTGCACTGTAGTGATGAGACAGAATGAAAAGTGTAATATGCATATGGCTCCCAACGTGATGATAACAGCTATTCACGGCACACACTTGACGATTTCAGGAACATTCTCGGTTAGAATGTTTTCTTTTTTGTAGAACTTTGTTTTTCAAAACATTGTTTGTAGACCACAAATATCATCATGGCAAATTGGTCCAGAGCGATGTGGCAAAGTGTAGTGGATAGAGCTGTTCGAGTGTTGGCATTCAGGGCCGTTTGGATCGCCCTTTCTTTCGGCAATGAGCGACTGTTGGTGGAAACTGAAGTTGGGCTATGATATGTTTTGAGTCAGACATCTATAAAAGTC